AAGAGCAACATCCAGAACTGCAGCAACATCGGCCCATAGCCACTGCTGATGCGCAGAAAGCCCTTGCTGGTTGCGCAGACGTAGGATGGCTGTTCGGGGGTTGGTGGCAACTGCAGCTTGCAACGGCGTAAATTCTTTGCGCTTCCGAAAGCTCGTTCGCTGCCATCCAGCCAGGAGAGGCCGGTGCCAACGAAACGGAAAGCCACGTTGCGGTGTGGGCAAGTAGCAGATCGGGCCTTGCACGGTCATCAGAAGTCCTTCGCCTTCGACGGTGTGCGCATCCACCACGGCCAGAGGAGCCCAGACGACCTCGAAAGCGGCCGCGCCCAGGAGCACGAAGGCCACCGCGGCCAGCAGCAGCGGCAGCCACCACTCCGCTTGCGGAGGCAAAGTGGCGCAGGGGTCTCCGGTGCCCTCAGACCAGGCCTCACGCACAGGCAAGAGACACACAGAAACTGCGCAGGCAAGCAGCTGACTCGCATGACGAGCAGGGCGGCAAGGATAGTTTTGCAACTGCGCCAATCCCTGTTGCCAAGATCCGGACAAGCAATGCTAGTCACGCATGGTCTACGCTATAATCCATGAAAGATCCACGTACCCTCATCTCGGTTTACCTCTTCAAATTAACTTGGGGACCTATGCAAAAGAGCTATGTGATGTCGTTCGACGTCTTTCGTCACTGTCCAGCTCTGTTGAAAGGGGGGTTAGTCTCAGATGTAAAGGCGCATCACACGCTGCCCTTCTACCCTCCTGCGAAAATTAAGGTCGCTCCTTAGATGCTTGGGCTTAGACGTATGAAAGAGACTTGTGACTGCACCTCCCAGTTCAACGCGTCTTCACGTGTTTCGAACTGCTGCGCCACAATCCCTGATGCACGTCTGATTACATGCTGCGCCTTGACTCTGAATCATGCAGTCAGCGTCATAGCAAAGACGCTGACAGGCGAGAAGGTCACAGGCCAAATGCAACATGCAATCGGCCCGGCCTTGTACAAGGGGCACTTGGAGCAGTTTTCGTCGCGAGCTTCGAAGTGGGCTCGGCAGTACCCGCAGTAGCTTCCGGTCTCTGACACCTGGACTTCATGGCCGCAGCGCGGGTCCGGGACCTGCTCGGGAAAGGCGCAGCGGCAGCGGGCAGTCGTGCCGCCATTCAGGAAAGCCCGTTGCTCGCACATCAGCCTTGCAGGGCTCACCACCTGAAGCCCCGAACTTGCCCCGGGAGCAAAGGTCACGCCGCGCGCGCAGGACGCGCAGGACACCTC